TGAGGAAGGGAAGATGAAAATTTCCTGCTAATTTTTTCAAAGGGAAACAGCAAAACAAAAATGTGACGGCGCTTGTATAATTATGACTGCATTAGAAGTTGAATAAGAATAGCATCAACAAATTTCCCAACTATACCTAAACATTGAATCTCTGAACTGACACCTGCCAGGCTCAGGACTTTTGCCAAGGGGGAATGGATTCTTCTTCACCAAAGAAGTCAAGGATGAATCCAGAGTCGTCGGGGGTTTGGAGGGAGGGAGGAGTATTTTTTTGTAGGGGGGGGCAAAAATTGGGGGTTTCTTGATGTAACCTTGCACAACATTTCTCAAGGGTGAGACTCAATTCTAGGGTTCTTTACACGCCTTGGTGGGGATATAAATGACACTGTCTCGTAAAATTGCATTCTGTGCCATAAAAACAGGTATTAAAAAATTGCTGGGGGACATATATCATACCCCTTGAATCTGCCAATGTAAAGTAGCAACTACTGGTTTCTGGTTTAGAATGTTAACATGACACTGTTTTTGATGAGCAGCAACCTGACTAGATTGCAATTTCTTTCAGACATTTGAGCCTAATGTGTGCTTGCTTTAACAGCAGGGCGGGTCGGGACCCCTTGATTCCCCGACTTTGCTTCTGAAGACGGGACTCAATGTCTTGAAATGAAATTTTTGCCTTTAGAATATGGTTCATGCTGCACATGCGGATCCAAGGTGCTGAAAGGCTGCCAATCCGGTAATGGGAAAAAATGATGGAGGACTCCGATCTAGCTCTCTCTCAAACAAAATTTCAAACCCTAATCCCCCTTTCGCTCATCTCCGAGGTGTGATGACATTCGCATCTTGTGTGATCTCCGTCATCTGTCTTTGCCCAAGGACCTGGAAGGGTAAATATGGGGCCTCTCGAGGCTTTCCTGGGGTAATTTCTCAGGCAGGCAAACCCCAGAGGCAGCCATGTGCGGCCTCTTCAAAGAAGGGCTTGCTATATTACAGCTAAGGCACAGCTAAGGTCCTGTAGTCTAGGAGGTCAGACTGTTTGGGCAATACAACTGCTCCCAACCCACAGGCAGTGATATCTCATATCTTTGGGCTCCTTCGGGCTCTGGTGTTTCAGACACACGGGAAATCCACACAGCTATATGAATCTGGCAAGTTCAGGTGTCAAATTTCAGCCAATGGAAGATTGTTTTGCTCATTCAGAGGTTGACACACCTACTGAAGTATTAACAGGATAGGTAGCACGCTTACAAGTAGGCTGTACGCAATCTATGCTCTTTCTGCAAACAGGGACTATGCTTGCCAACATGCACGGATCCCTGAAGATGAAGTGCACGCAGAATATAGGAAACCTGTGCCGATTTGCCATACCATCTTTAATAGCAATACCTGAAATTTTTTTGTCCAGTTAGGCTAATCCCACTCATCCTATTATCTACCCCGAGCTGAAGTACATGTACACCCCCGACCGGCGAATGCAAGCGGGTTCTTGCACGTGTTCTGTATGTACGCAGACAATACACGCTGACATAAATTAGTTACGCGTACTCAGCGTGCTCCGCGTCAAACGCGCATATACTTGCACGCCTTAAGGCACGCCTATGTGGTGAGTACCAATTAAAAAAAAAAAAACACAGCCTCTTTTGTTCCGCTCGGAGCAGATTGGGCTTACTGTGCACGATTTCATATATCGAATGTCCCACAACTAACAGGCATTTTACCCAAGAAGCAATGAGTGGATTTTCAGCACTTTTCATTCAACTATTGGGCATCTGGATAGAGATTACCCACGAGAGATTTTACACTTCTAGTCTGTTTGATGAATTTGTGATCCAAGAAGACATCCAGAAAGAATTACATACATGTAAGGGAGAAAAAAGGGGACTTTTCCTTGACCTCTTCCCCTGATGGCGGAAGAGAGGGGGAGGGGTGGATAGTTCCTGCCCACTTTTGGTAGGTGTTTTAAATGGGGAGGGCCTAATGGGTCAGTCTATTGATTGTTGATACCCGACAGTCTCACTAATTGCCCCTCCCTCTATGGAAATCGTTCCGATGCCACTGGGAAAGTAGACATTTCTCTTTTCACTTTTTGACGCTGAATCCTGTGATTGACGTGTGCAATGACATTAGGGTAATTCCAGAAATTAGGGGTCACAAAGTGTGGCATTTTTGTGCCCCTGTTACATCTGACCTTTGTTATTTGACATGGAAATATCACCGGAATTGATTTCAAATTATTACTATTTGTTTGGCAGGTAATTTGCATTAATTCACCACTCTTGGAAATTAGAAAATGTAATCCGAACTTACAAAATCATATGTCAGATGTGACAGGGACACGAAAAAAAAAAGGACCCCTAACTCCTGGAATTACCCTAATATCATTGCACACGTCAATTACAAGATTCAGCATCAAGAAGTTAAGTGCATTCTCTCTGGAATCACATTTCAAAATCAGCTCCAAATACATTTCTCTTGTAACAACTCGCGTGTCAAATCCCTGACTAAAAATGTTTTGGGGAAACCATGTACACATGTCTTGGGTTTATTCTCATTTGGCTTTTCTGGAGTACTGCCAGTTAATTAGTTCCTGCGGTGCCTCCTTGTTTGTGAAAACTGAGTGACATGGCTTAGCTCTCTTTCAAAGTGCACTAACTGAGTGTAGGAAATGATAACAAGATGGTGCTGGGTACCAACATGTTTCTCCTGCGTTTGGTGCTAATTCAAGCGGTCAGCAGCTACTGTACTATTTCCTTCTCAAAACAAGAAGTTAAATTTGAAAAGTTCAGTCTAGCTCCTCCATGCACACAGCACCTGAAATCCATCATGCCATGGGGCAACCCACAAATGCCATCTCCAACCCCCCCCCCCCGAAAGAGAGCCTTTTTAAATGATGGAAGGCGATTTTTGGTGGAGGGTGTCTAGTCTATTTCCCTTCCTTTCAAAGGCATGTAAAACCCTCTAAGAGCAACATGTAGGTCCACTTTGCGAGGATGCATCCTCAGTATCCTTCGCAAGCCTCTGATTGCCTCCCGGTCGAAAATGGATACCACCTCAGTTTTCCAAAATATTCCATGATTTCTTCACAATCTACCGCATGTGTGTTTGCCGTATACAGCCTGAAACCTCCAAAATCCCCCCCCCAAAAAACAAAAAAAAAACCACTTGGAAGATTGATGAGGGTTAGGGTTCTAATAATCATTGAGGCTCAACCTGTAATTTATTTTAATCAGGCCTAAGTCTTAGAGAGTCTATGAAGACGTTGGAACGATGATGTCACACCATCATGTCAATACAACTTCTAGGACATGTTTTTCCAAAAGAAATACTTTTTTGTGTGGATTCCCTGGAGGGATTTATTTATCAGTTGTGATGCAATGTTCCTGACAGCTGATGGCTTATGAGTTTCCTCCCTTGGGGTGTTATTCATACGGAGGGATTCTGCAAACCTGTTTCAAATGCCACCTCATGGAAGTCGGATTAATGCCAGCCGCTGTGATATACACGCATTCTGGCGCCTAAAAATCACAGTAACTTTTTTTTCCCACAAGCAATGTAATAAAAGTTTCCTTTGGTTTAGACTGACCTTGACAAACTGGGATTAGACTGACGTGATCGAGTGTTTACAACATGTTCATGTTGTTAACTTCAATATACAAATAAAAATAGCACGGTTCCTCTTTTTTGGAAGCGTGTCAGACTCAAATGTGGGATTCATTAATACAGGGTGACAATCTCATAAATGTTCTGACAAGTAGGGAAACATTCTCAGATGTTTTAGAGTGGAAAAAAAAATTACATCAACCGCAGGGAGATAAACAGAAGAACTAGAGACATTTGCAGTCATCTGTCATTACCGACCGTCGCTAAGTTAGTGACAGTCGATGGAGCTTCCCCCCAACTCTTTGGCCCATGTTCAATCATGACACAAACTAGGTCAGTGGCCCAATTTTTGGACCAAATACAACTGCTAAATGAGTTACAAGAACTAAATCAGGAAAAGGCTGGGGATTTGGTCTTGAATGTATTCATCGTTTGCCTGAGACAAACAACTCAAACAGAAACTGACATTCTGTTTAATTTCAATCCCTTAAAGCTGGTGTGACAGGGACACCCAACTACCTCACAAAAAAGTCACAGGAGCGATTTCCGATATCGCCACACAAAAATTGTTTCCAAAAAGGAGGGATTGAAAAAAGGAATTACATCGGCAAGTTCAAGGTCAGGATCGACTTTTGCTGGTGTGCCTCTTGTGTGCGCCACCCTGCTGGGATGGAACTGTCGCGGGCCGAGCAAGGTACACACCCTCCCGCAAAACAGACCCAGTTGGGGGGGTTGGCCTGGATTATCCCAGAGTTGCGAAATTTGGGTTTTGGGGATGTCAAATGTACAGGTTGGGGCCACTGTCTGCAGCTGTCAGCGCTGGTCAATCCTTAATACTGCAAGGGCATTTTACACCTGAGTGAACTTGTTTAACCACAAGTTTTTACACACTGGAGTGTTTCAGAGTTGTTTTTACAACACCTGTCATTAAATTTGTGTACACTAAAAAAAATTTTAACAGCAGGCTACAAACCAGGACTTCATTTTCTGCTTTGTGGGTTTTCTTGAAAGGTTTGTGCTGGCATTACCTTTTGATGCAGGTTCAAATGCTGGAAGGGATCAATGATGCATTTGAGAGTTTACCTGGGGGGAGGGGGCTTATAGATTCTTACCCACAGCCTCATAATTTACAAAAACTGTGACTTACAAGGGTCACCAAGCATCCTTGGGAACAATGAGCATGGAATTCATAGGAAACAATTCAGGATGACATGGCACATCTTATGTGAATTGAAAGTTATACATGTATTTCAGAGGGTGGGAAATCCCTGATCTCAAGTCAAAGGAACTGAATTGAAACGGCACAACACCAAAGCCGCACTGTGTCCGATTAGTAGACACAGGAGGTTTCTTAATTACGTAGGAAAAGCAAATTATTATTTGGCTTGACGATATCTTACCTTTGCAGGCCTTGCGATGCGTGATGGGCTTGGCTTCGTCCCGGTAGAAACCTTCCTTGCAGTAGTGGCAGTAGCGGCCCGCCGTGTTGTGTCGGCAGTTCAGGCACACCCCGCCGCTCTTGCGCCCGGACAGCTTGTACAGCTCCATGTTGAAGCGACACTTCCGAGCGTGGAGGTTGCAGTTGCAGGCTAAAGAGACGGATGGGAAAAAAAGGTGAATATTTTAGCACCGGTACATGCTCAGGTGCATTTATCCCTCTATGAAGGTAAATGTACTACGGGCTTGTGCACATTCTGCTGAAATTGATTTGGGCATATTCAGTCGAAAATTGATTTGTGCACATTCGTTCGAAAATTGTTTGTGCACATTCAGCTTAAAATTGACTTGTGCACATTTAGTTACCATACAGCACAGCTATTCTCCTGAGACTAGATCCAGAGCCTTAACCTGAACAGTCCCCGATTTCAACAAAATTCTTCATACACTTGAGGAGAAAAGGTGTAGCATATGAAGTCAGTCATTCGTTTTTAGAACTTTATGAATGACATAAGATTTCACAACAGACAAAGGGCTTAATAGAGGTTTTTAAGTGCATTCACCTTTTTCAAAAACCTCTTTAAAAAGGACCTGTGAGGACATCAAGTTTATTTTTGGCAAAACTGACAGCAATGCAGTTACTGAAATAAAAATCACACGCTGGCAATTTTTATTGGAACAAATGAATTCATGCAATGTTTGATTTGTCCAACTGGGCCAGGGGCGTGAAAAGACATGACTGGCTGCGGCTTGTGGTGAGCTGTAATGGGAACGGGAAATCATCACCGTATGATATTCTCAGAAAGAGAAAGGGCTCAATGTGAATTCTGTCCAGGAAGAGGTGAGTCACTCTTTCTTATAAAATGGCAGACCAATGGTACTCATAAAAGGCACTCCTAGGGCTGTATTTTAGACCTTTCAAAGTAGGCCTACATGTTTATTTGTACTTTACGAGTCTACAAAATATGCGACTTGTATCTGACAAAATAAGTAATAAGGCCAGTTTTACAGCAATCTTATATTTCTCGAAGTACTTAGTCAGCGCACCCTTGGCACACCACCTTGCTCTGTAAAATTGCTGGGTAATTTTTGCCCAAGGTTGGGTACCAGGTAAATGGCATAATAGTTGGGCAAAGAAATTTACCCAATGGCGTTGGTTCTCTCCTAGAATATGAGCAAACTTGTCTCATTGTACCTAACAGTTGTTGACAATGTTATTTGTACTACCACCGTTTTTACACAGCGCTTTGATCTTTTCGCACAACAGTTATAAACAATTCACCTGCCACCTAACAATGGGCAAAAACTTGTCCAGCATTACAGTGTAAACTTCAGAGTGCCTGAAAACTCAAGACCGAAACACAGATGTGCTATTTTGACGGTATGCTAAAAAGAAACAAAGTTTTTTATAAAAGGCAGGTAGCTTCACACACTTGATGCATTGTACCTTTTCCAAACAAAATTGGATTTTTTTTCCCCAAACAAAACTACGAGTAAAAAAGTAAAGGGCAAACATTTAAATTGTGCAACACAACGTCTTGAAACAGTTGAGGGGCACTACCCTCTCAAGCATCCCATGATTTTGATGTGTGCAACGAGATGAAATCAGCTTACTCCCAAAATCCAGCACTTTTTTTAAAAGGATTTTCATGATGGCAAAGCCCCCCGATTAGTAAAGGATTATGACACTTTTATTCTCTTATGCGTCAGCCTTGTTTGCGCTGAGTGCCACTAATCCGGATGGGACGGCATTGCAAGAGATGGGCAGTTGGTGGATGAAGGAGCAGGAATTCAAATGCACTCCTGGGAATAAACTTGCAGAGAGAGTTCCCTCAGAGCTTGAGAGCCGGCCAAATGTCTCTCAAGCATGGGGATAAGACAACAATAAAACCGGGCAATCTCAATACGACAAGCCTTTCAACTGCATTCATAAAAGGGAGCCCTTGTGCTTCTTTGTGGTCCAGCATAATTCCGAAAAAAAAAAAGTGTTTCAGACTGTAACAATGTCTGAGGCGGGCCGAAAAAGGAAACCAACTCCGCTGCACTTTTTAGCGGTGGCAGCAGGGCCGGGAGGGGATTAGGCGGCAGGAGAGTCAAGTTACCGTCGCCTTGAGGTATCTTCATTTCTCCCCTATTGAAGGGAGATGGGATTTAGACGGAGGGAGTCTGCCGTTTCATTCCCGAGAATGAAAAAAGTTCCCTGACACTTTCCATGGCATCTAGGGGTCTTACAAGGTTGAGTTTGTGCTCCTAGATGGGTGTTGCCATGTTTTGACAGAGTTTGGGGGCATATTTTCATATGCAAGTCCTTTTTAGGGGTGCTGTTTTGGAGATCTCTCTTCAAACTTTGGTTTTTGCATAGATGTCTGAGGGTCACTAAAGGACACGTGATAAGTGCGAATGACGGGCAGCAGCAGCATGTCACTCTATTTAAGTGCTGCATAATGGGGGATTTTAAGAGGTTGCATCTTCACGGTTGCAGTCAACATGTTTTCTTTCAGAAGTCTATGTACTCACTTGTTTTTTCTTAATCCTTTCTTTGAACTAAGATTCAAACCCAGCAGATCTTGAGACCGAAAAGATACATGTAGCTTTTTTTAAAAGCATTTTTATCTATTCAGTTTATTAAATAATAAACTTAATAAACTAAATAACTTTATTTTCAAAACTGAAGGCAAATACAATTTTCTTTAAAAAAAGCATTACGAGAATGAGAAATGAAGATCTACACCTACCCAAGATATACTTCAGTCGCAGCCCAACAAAAATCCCCAATTAAAGGTCACTATGGATGCATATTTACAACTTGGCAAACTACTGGTAATGGTTGTCTCATTCATGAGTCACACTGTGATTCAGCTTCATGGAAAATTCATGACGGGGCAACTTTTCAGAACTTGGAAGTGGGTCCACTGTATTCATGGGCCACTACTGTTGTTTGGACTTAATTTAATTGAGTACGTGTCAGTGGGTGGTCGAGGGGGGGATGGTCTTATGTAATTTGTTCTCCAGACCAGTTTGAAGGGGGTACTTATTGATGCGAGCGGGTGCCTCCTTTATCTTGCAGGTGGTGCGGACCACTTCGGCAGATGGCTCCGCAAACAGTTTGTGGATGTGATGGCCTGCGTTCTTTGTCAAGCCACTCAAGTGTAGGGCCCCGCGAATTCCTGGGAAGTTTCTGGGAGAGGTATAGATCTGGGAGAAAGTTGCCTCCCCTCTTCAAACTCGCATCTCTCGGCAAACAACGGGATGGGAGGAAGGTATTTGCCATTGCCGATGCGGTGGGAAAACAATCGGCCGCTCAGGTGTTTCGGGGGAAAAAAAGAAGAGGATTTATGAAACGATGTTCCTTTCCTCCCCCCCCCCATCGTATTGTGACCGGGGTTGAGGGTGCATCAAAGGAGGGCATGATGTGGGACTCAATACTGCAGCCAATAATTGGCAGGTGCGGTATTTGAGTGTTTGGTGTGAAGTCCACTCAGTGGGTAATGGAGGCCACTGTTCCTCTTCATACGCACACCGCAAACCTGCTTCTGTACAAACACTCTGGTGGATGTATCGAAGTTTGCGTCTTGGCAAATTCTAGGTATATCATGCCTGCATCGGATGAATTCTCTTCTCCAATGCCATTTATCTTCTACTTAAAATTGTAGGGTTTCTTGTATGTTCTTTCAAAATGATGAAGCCAAAATCCAAGGGGCAGATTGCAATGGGGAGGGGTCATGGCTCCCGCAAAGGAGCAAGAAACACGAGTATTAGGAACAATAATGAAAGAAGGCTACCGAGTTCCAATTCCAAACCCCCCCCCATTGGTTCTGGATATGTTCTTGATTGGGGCTTTGGAAAAACCTTCATTCAACGTCCCTTCCCAACTTACATCTACACCAAATGGGGGATGGGGGAAGAGGATGGGATATATCGGGAAAAAAGACATGACAAAACAAATATCCTCAGGTGCACTGGCTGTTTCGGCTAACAGGATGTAAGGGAATTACCTTAACATTGTTATAAAAAAATGTGTGTCTTGGCATCAGCTACTGAGGAATTAAATTTCACAGGCCTGCACAACTAGATATATTTACAAGTTCAATAACAACGTGGGTGCTATCACAATGTAAATCCCTCACATATGGGATGCACATTACAGTAGCATAACCCCTGACTGTGTGGTCTGCTCAAGATGTGGCTATCATGGTGGCACTAGGCAAAGACTGCTAAACATGAGCCAACAGTGACAAATTGTATCCAGGAGCCAGCATATGAAGACATTACAAGGGAAAATCCACCCAAAAGTGTCAGTCAGCTGCAAGTCGGGCGCATAAGCTGACAACATCAATATTTGATGTCATCCGATCAGTGTTTTCTCTGAGGGCGTGATAGGGTAACATTACCCGATCCAATGCGCAGGCACTTTTTTATGTTATCTGAAACCTGGATAACCCTGGGATAATGTTTCATGTTTTTATGTCATTGACATTTTTATTAGTGAAAGGAAATTTAACTCTAAGCAGGGCAGGAGTTTCATGGAAGTATTGGAGGCAATAAGCTGTTTGCGATTTAAAATTTGAACGAAATCTGGTACACTGAGCAAAACAATTCGAACTCCCCAGACTAAATACACTGTTGCTATACCTCATGATTCAAGGCAAGCTTTTGCATAGCGACCAGCATCTGTGGAATCCTTTGTAACCTCCTTATCCGTTGAAAACAGTGTATTAGTGCAATGAGCATTTTATGTAACCAAGCAAAAGCTTGCCCCAAATCACGAGGACCGTTTTCCGATACTCAACTTCGGCTTCGTTTCAGGCTTCAACTGTTTTTTGACTAGCTGTCTTTGAAGCTGTAAGCACAGTAATAAGTCTAATAGTGCCACAAAACATCAAACAAGATGCATGAGAGCCAAAAATTACAGTAATCCAATTTAATTTAAACGCTTCAGGCCCACAATTGGGGACTGGTTTTGGGAACGAAGCCCGAGACAGAGACGAAGTTGAGTATTGGAAAACGGCCAAGGTATAGCAACAGCGTCTTTAGTATGGAAATTCAAATGTTTATATTCATGTGAATTTAAAGAATTCCGTGTACCAGATTTCATTCAAGTTTAAATTGCAAAGGGCTTTAATGCCTTGATGTTCCTGATCTTTGCCTTGAT